AAGTTAAATTTTACTATCAAAATAAAAAGTAAAATCCAAGTAATACTGTCTTTATTATTTATTTAATCCAAATGATACTATCTTTAATTTTTATACAATGAAACCTAAGTATATTTTATTGTGAAGGATCTTCCTATTCCAATCCGAATGGTTTAAATTCTTCTTAAATGAAATTATTATCACAATTCATTCAAAGACATTTTTTCTTCCAACTAAAGTAGTTATTTAATTCTCCTTCAAAATTATTACAAAACACAACATTATATATAAACATTATACAAAACGTTATCACAAAATTGTGTTATCAATTGAAGTGTACCACAAAAGTTAAAAAATTGACTGAAATAAAAAAAATTTTAAATAGAAAAATTTTTCATGTAAAAACACTTGGCAGTGCTAGATCAAATAAGAAAAACAATTTGAAATTAGTACGGTAATTCATAAAAATAAATATATGTAATAAAAGGTAATTATAATTTAAAAGTAATAATAAATTTAATCTGAATTTTACACTGAATAATAATAAAGTTTATTATTTTCTTAGACTTAAATTTAAGACTCCTACTCAACCAAGAACTTTGTGGTGGCGACAAAGAATCAGACGGCGATCTGGTGAAACTGATAGCCACACACTTAAGCACGAGCCCATGTCATGTGCTTATCTGCGGCGCGCCAAGAATGAACAAGACAGTGAGCTTCTTCTCACACTAGTCATATGTTTTAAGCGACCGAAAATGCTTTCTCGGTAATCTCGGCCGCTCGGTACGGCCCTAGGCATCAATAAGGGCCGAAGGGCATTTTAAATAACATTTAAATTTTAATAAATTGTAGTAACTGTGTAGGTCTCTCATTAATCCAGAATAGTATAAATCATTAACGCAAGTTTACGAGATATTTAATTGTTCATGATTCTTCATGTGCGTTATATTATAGTATACCTTCATAAACTCGAGAAGCAAGAATATTTCAGTAGAAGTAGAATTTATAAATTATTAATTCCGGGAAAAAATTATAAATTATTTCTTTTCAAAAGTCTCGAAAGGCCATCAGAAAAGAAATGTGTATGTTTGAAACTCAAGATTTGTAAAGAATATATGCGAAAAAAAAATCGAAGTTGCAAAAAGCATATTTTTCACTTATAAAACAAAAGATATTGATTGTATGGAAAAAAATTCGGTATAAAAAATGTAGATATCGAAATACCTACAAAATGAGATGCAATATTAAAATCGATCTATTAATTCAGTAGAAAAAAAATAAAAAATACCGAAAAAGACCTTTTTTTTCACTCGGGCTAGTGACAAACACATTAGTATGAATTTTTTTAAATATATAATTAATTAAAAAAAATATATAATTAAAATTATTTACTTTTATGCATTATCGATACTCTTATTTTTTAACAGATTTATTTAATAATTGCGTTTAAATCAATTCCATTAAAAAGTGCATAGCAGTATATAGTAAGTATAGTGTGAGTTTGTTACCATGCCGTAAACCGCGCTTCATATAATATCAACGAAAGAAATAGGCGGTACGCGGTTTCCTAGTTAGCTATTAGCCTAGATAGCTATTATTGTACCGCGTATCGCGCTCCATGTAATCGCACACTCATTCCGCCCGCGCATTGCTTCGCTTGCGTTCTTCAACTTTCCAATGGTTTTAAACAAACTTTTTCGGCAGCAAAAAATTCGATAATTGTTCAACAGCAAATTCAATTCTTCCTTGACAAATTGGTGCCAGATGGAATTTTTAATCTTTTAAAAATTAGAGCTATAGTGATTTAAAAAAAAATTATTATCTCGGCTCCTAATAATTGGAGGAATAATCTTTTTTTTTAAATTCATAGAAAAATGTCAGATGTAGAATGCTTCACACGGCTATTTGATATAATGCATATTAATGGAATTCCCATTTTTTTATACGGAAAAAGATATCCACTTTTTAAACTCGTTTTATAATAGTTTAACTACAAAAAATCGTTTTGTTATTAAGTGCACATAATGATGCAATTCTCAAAAAAGAAAAAATTCCTCCTGTAAATTGTGCGACTGCTCAAACATGAAGAAATTAAGTTTTCCAGACAGTTTTTTAGTGAACAAATGACTTTTACAAAAACTAATGAACATTTCAGGATTTGTTCACTAGATTTGTTCATCAGAGGATTACATTTTATGAGAATTTCAAAACTTTGCGTTTAAATGAACAGAGAACGAATGAAAAAAGGCCTTTTTTGGTATTTTTTTATTTTTTTTCTACTAAACTAATAGATCAATTTTAATGTTCCATGTCTCATTTTATAATTTCGAATACTTACATTTTTTGTAACAATTTCATATAATCAATATTTTTTATAAGTGATTTTTCGTTTTAACGTGTTTTTTGCAATTATTCAATTTTTTTTTGCATATTTTCTTCACAACTCTCAAACATACGCATTTCTTTTCTGATGGCCTTTCGAGATTTTCGTGAAAAGAAATGCTGATTTATAATTTTTTTCCGATAAAATTCTACTGAACTATTCTTGCTATTCGAGTTTATGAAGAAGGAATATACTACAAAATGCGTATCAAAATCCGGATAAATCAAACAATTCCTTTAAACAAAATGTTTTTAATGAAAAATTAAATATTACAAAAAATCCTTTTACATGACACTTGGGGGATCCCTGTAGATAATTATTTGATATAGCCCCCATTAGTTTGAATGACAGCCTCTATTCTCAGTCTGAAGTGTTCGCATGCTGTAATGTAATGTTGTCCATCCGACGAATGCTGTCTCAATAACGGTCCTTAACGTCACATTGGGCTGCCGAGACTTGTTTGTGACTCTTTCAACTACGCTCCGTAGTAGTCTAGAGTTTTTAGTTGTCCCAGATTTAAATCTGGGTTGTTGGAAGGCCAGAATTTCTTGGACCAAAATATATCGACATTATCTGAGAGCTAATTTTGAATCAAATGATTCGTATGAGCCGATGTACATTCTGCTGAAAAATATATGGCCTTCCGAACGCCACAGTTTCCAATCCACGGCTTCACTACATCCATCAGAACGCGCAACAATTGCTCTGGGTCATCCAAAATCAGCGCTTGAGCCCTTTCAATGACTACGAGCATCCTCGCGATGCATTCTTTCGAGTGACTTCCTCGCTGGCATACTGGAACCTTGGACTGTTCTAAAACCGTACATTTGCTACAATGTCATAAATGGTTGATCTCGGATCATGGACTCGTGCTTGTTTATGTCTTACAGTGTCGAACCACGATAAATGGCCGAAATTATAGGCGTGAAAAAGTGACGTTTTGACGACGAAATTTATGTTACGTGCTATTTCGTTATTATTTGCTTAATTGTTAAAATGTGACTTATTGAAGTAATTATCGAAAACTGAAGGACTTATCTTGGAATTTTATATAGCGTATATTTTACTCGTTTCAACAGCTGTCGGACCGTGTTTCTGCCCGAATATAGGCTCACTTTACGTGTCTTTTATGATTATTTACTGACTGTCAAGAGAGTAAAGGACAATTTTCATCGATTTTCATAAATATTTTAAAGTGATCTTATCATTTCGTTTCATCCAAATGATCTTTATTTAAAAATAGCAACATAAATTAATGTTATTTCTCGCTTCGTCATAATTCCAACATGGCCGTCGTGACTAGTTCGGAGCTTTAATACATTCATAGCGTTCATAATTTACACTCAATCACACACACACGCACACGCACACATGCACGCACACACACACACGCGCGCGCGCGCTAGATATTTTAACTCTCACTGGGAATGCTTATTTTTCTTATTTTTCTAAATATTCATATTTTTTAATAATTCTAATTTTTCTTATTAATATGCTTCTTATTTATGTTATTTTTCTAAATAATTCATGTTTTATTACTATATCGAGATCTAACAGCGTCAAATGTTTTGAAAAATTTTTCTATTTAAATACAATTTTTTTCATTTTATACGATTAATTCTTTAATTTTTTGTGGTAATAATTCAATTGAGCAAGATAACGTAATTTTGTGATAATGTTTTGAAGAATTAAATAATCATTACTTTAGTTGGAAGAAAAAAATGTCTTTGAATGAATTGTGATATATTGTAATAATTTCATTTAAAAGGAATTTAATCCATTCGGATTGGAATAGAAAGATCCTTCAATAAAATATACGCGTATACTTAGATTTCATTGTATAAAAAATTAAAGATAGTATTATTTGGATTAAGTAAATAATAAAGATAATATCACTTGGAGTTTACTTTTTATTTTGATAGTAGAATTTAACTTAGCGCCACAGTTGTTGATATCAAAGCTTTTGTACAAATGATACGTATCATTAGACTAATATATTCATTATTTATTTAATTTGTCATGATATAAAGAAAGGGATTTAACTTGGCATCAGTTCTTGATATCAAATCTTTTATAAGAATGATACATATATTTGCAATTTGTGGAACGCTTGTGATTGATTCTGTTCTCTTGATTGACTTGTTCAGTGTTATACTATTCCGCTGCATGAGCACTCTTACATTCTATTATAAAGTCAGCATTTGCGAATTGTTAATGAATTGTAATTCATATCGATCTTAAATTTTATAAAAAGGAAACATCCGACACACACGCTTTATACAAAATATGTAAATTATGTAATTTATGTAAATTTAAAAAAAATGAGCAATCTTTATTCTTTTCACAATTATAAAAAATTATAATTTACGTTTACTGATACTTAAATAAATAAAACAAGTCACATGTTTTTGTTATAATTTATAATTATATGACTCGTCTTAGTTAACAAGTAGGATACAAATAAATGAAACTTCTGAATGAATAATATTTTACGTGACCCTAATTCATCCGATATATGAAAAAAATGATCATTTTTTGAATGACCGTAAATAATAGTATGAGTTTCTTTATTGTTATATAGTTATATAATATATATATATATAGTTATATAATTTTATTATAATTTCTTATATTGTAGAATTGTACTTGCAAAGCGAAGTTGCAGAAATAAATCACTCAATTACGCCACTTGCCTTCTACCGAGAATATGTTTCGAAAAATGTACCATTAGTAATAAGAGGTGCAATAAAACATTGGCCTGCTATAAACAAATGGTCTATACCATATTTTCGTAAAGTGCTTGATGACGAAAAGATTTCAGTCGCTGTTACGCCAAATGGCTATGCAGATGCAGTAATTAAAGGAGATGACGGTATCAAGGAATTTTTTGTAATGCCCGAGAAACGTTTACTTACAATATCAGCGTTTCTTGACACATTAGAAAACACGATAGAAAACAGCGTATTTTATATACAGAAACAAAACTCGAATTTTATACACAACTTTTGTAAGTTGTGGCCAGACGCAGAAATTGAAATATCGTGGGCCAGCGAAGCATTTGGAAAGCATCCTGATGCTGTAAACTTTTGGATGGGAGACGAAAGAGCTGTAACTTCTAGTAAAGTTTTATTTTACTTGATAACACAAATACTCGAAAATGCTTGGATATCTAATTGATATATATATATTGATGATCATCATTAAGTAAATTTCATTCTCATAATTTCAAGAATTTTACAAAATCTATTTCTATTCACATATAATTTTATTAGTATATATAGTTAATTCTGAAGATAACATTCGAATTAAATTACATATTTTTACTATTTATAGTGCATAAAGATCCTTACGAAAATATATATTGTGTTGTGTCTGGTGAAAAAAACTTTATTTTACATCCTCCCACGGATTTACCATGGATTCCACATCAAAATTATCCATCTGCTGTTTACAAGGAACACAAACCCGGGAAATGGATTATTGAGTCAATCAATGATACGCTTGATTCAGGAAGAATCACAAATTTAACATCAACGCCATGGATATGTGTAGATCCTTTAAATCCGGACTACGAAAAGTTTAGTGACACTATATATAGCGTTTTTTATTTTCAAAGTGACATTTATTTTCAAAATTAATAGAAAAAATATATTTAAAAAATTTACTTTAGATATCCAGAATATCGTAACACACATAACTTGAAAGTGACACTCAGAGCTGGAGATATATTGTACTTGCCATCCTTATGGTTCCATCATGTGAGACAGTCACATGCTTGCATATCCATCAATTACTGGTATGATATGGAATTCGATATCAAGTATGCTTACTTCAAAGCACTGGAGACATTATGCAAATAAACGAGTAAGTGGTTAAGGCACTCTGTAAACATTTATGTGTATAGATGATACTATTTTATTTTAAGTCATTTGCATGCAAAAGAAATCTTATTCTTATATATTTGTATCTTCCTCTCTTTCTGTATATATCTGTATGTGCACACACAGATATATGTATATGTGTACATGTATATTCTGTATAGATTGTATGTCGTTTATAGCGTATAATACATTGCTACATTATATACTATTGATTATTCCATAATATACTTACATACTAATACTATATCAAAACATCTACATGTTTTTTAATTAATATATGTTATTGATATACTTATTAAATGAAATGCTTATTTTATCATTATATCAATGATACAAAGATAACATAATATACGTTATTCTTCTTACAGAAGTTGCAAACTTACTGTCATGCTTTACGAAACTGTCAAAAAACTACAAGAAAATTTAAGTCAAGCTGTTTCGTCATTTTCCTCGGTAAGCAAATTATATTTACGTTTTGTACCATAATTCTGAGTTTCATACATCTTTCGGTTTTCTAGATATTTCCGGTAATTGTTCTCGCGTTTTCTTCGTTGCTCCTCTGCCTGCTGTCGCAGTTTTTCAGGATTCATATGTGTGGTTACCATGTGCCTCGTTAATGAACTCATGAATTTATATGTGATTCCACATACATCGCAAGAAAGTATTTCCTCACTTCCTCCCTGTTGCTATTTGTGAAAAAAAAAAAAAAAAAAAAAAAGATTTATAATTACACAAATCCAAATAAATTATAAAAATAATGCAAAAAAATATATGCAAAAAAATATAAAATCAAATATATTAAGGTATTTCTACAATAAAGTGTCGAAAATTTGGGATGCCTCACAAGGCCCATCCAAAACCACAAATATCTACATAATTTGGATAAAATATTAAAATTATGTGTATATTTTAATAAAACAGTAAAAAATAAATGATATTTAAGTATGCAAAAACGATGAAATAAAAAGAAGTTTTATTCGATATTAAGACTTTATTGGATATTTTGCCATTTCAACATTACGAGAATGTTCGATAACTTATTACTTTTTTTTTACTATTATACATAAAAATGAATTTTCAGTGCAAAAATGAAAATAAGAGAAACAATCTCCAGTGATCTTGACAAATGTTATTCAAGACATAATCCTAAACAACAAGAAGTTTTAGCCGTCTGTCGGATTGAGTAATGCTAATACCGACGGTACTGTAACTTTCAAGCTTTATAACTCGCAAAGTACTTAATGAAAATGAACTTAATTATAATATTTTAGCTAAGCTTTACTTTAGGAAAGCTCTCGAGATAAACACAAAAATATGTAGTAAAAAAGGGGGATTCCATTAAAAAAATTCATGTTGATCTTGACAATGCCATCCTAGGTTAAATAACTATCGTTATAATAACTAACTTATTGTTGAATGCATTTTTTTAAGCTTTACAACTTTTGTAAGAAACATTTTTTTTCTAAAATGCATTGTTTATAAGATATTTGGATGTATCCAGACTTTCGGCCCCTGTATAATATATATATTATATGTAGTAATTCAGATTAAATTATTTCAAGAGCTAGCTTTAATCGTTACAGCCATTACTTCTGTTTCTTATTGTTGAATTTTCAAATTTATAATCCAGTAAAATTCTTATTTTTATTATAATCTCATTTTTTAGAAAAATTTATGTTTGTGTACAATTAGTTAAAGAACCTTTATGTGTCACTAAATTATATAATATTAAAAGTAACATTTTCGACATTTTTTTTCTCTTATTTCATCGATAACCTTTCTTTTTGCACACGTCAAGTTCGGGACTTCATTATATTAAAAAATTAGACATTTCTATGATAACTCGATTTACTGTAGAACCACCTTAATGTGCATATAAATGTAACCGGAAAAATCTATAGCCTTTTTCCTAATTAGTTACAATTTATTTAAAAAGAACAATGATTTATTTCTAAAAAAGCATTATCCTTCTTAAAAGAACAAATGATACCTTGTTTGTGAAAGTTTTTATGAAAAGTGGCGCAGAGGACGCTACTGTTTTTGTTTATTGCATATAGAGTATCCCATTTTAAAGGATCCACTCAAATATCTCGTAAACACTGCATTAAGGCTCCTGACTACTCAGTCAAGAACTCTGCGTTAACGATAGCGACACAGAATCAGATGGTGGTCTGGTGAAACCGGTAGTCATACATTCAAGTACGAGCCCGTCTGTGTGCTCGCTTTCGGTGCACCGAGAGTGAATGAGACAGCGAACTCCTTCTAATTGAAATATCTACAAAATGAAATGTGGAATATTAAAATCAATCTATTAAATAGAAAAAATTTTAAAACACCAAAAAAGATTTTTTTTTCATTCGCTCTCTGTTCATTGAGATTTAAACGCATTTTTAAAATTCTCTAAAAATGTAGCCATCGTGACGAACAAATCTAGCTCTGAGCGAGCCTGAAATGTTCATTAGTTTTTGCAAAAAGCCATTTGTTCACTAAAAATCTGTCTGCGGAAAACTTAATTTCTTCATCTTTGAGCAGCAATTTACAAATATGTAAGATTTTTCTTCTTCAAGAGTTGCTATCACATTTAGTAATGTAACAAAACAATTTTTTGGAGTTAAACTATTATTTGCAATTAAACTATGATTTTGAAAAGTAGGTATCTTTTTTCATATAAAAAAATGGAATAATTCTGTTAATATGCATTATATGAAATAGCCAGTTAATATGCATTATATGTGAAGCATTCGATAGCTGACATTTTTCTACGAATTTAAACAAAAAGCTACCCTCAGCTTATTAGAAGCCAAGATAACATTTTTTGCAAAATTTTTTGCAAAATTTTTTGCAAAAAATTACTGTAGCTCTAATTTTTAAAATTAAGAGAGATTCTATCTGGCATCAATTTGTCAAGAAAGAATTGAATTTGCTTAAAAAAATTCTCGAACTTTTTTGTTACCGAAAAAGTTTGTTTAAAACCATTGGAAAATTAAGGAACGCGACAATGGCAGCGCGCCGGACGGAGTGGAGAAGATCGGGCGACTCGCGTGTATCTGATTTGTATGTGTGTAAAAATTTGCTGAATCTACATTTTTTCAGCAATAAATTGACGTAAAAACATGATTTTTTTTTAATTTGAGGTAGTTTGATGAGATATAAACAAATAGCTTAACCAAATGTTTCGCAAAGTAATTGTGATCATGAAATTTTTAGTTTTTTGTTTCTTGAATTTTTATTTTTTTATTACTAAAAAAATCACGCTTGAGCATAGAGTGCACGTCTCATTAACATATTTAAGTCATATGCTTCTTTATATTTAATATGCTGTAAAAAGTGTTCAATTGGACAATTATATGTATGAAATTATCAGTACAAAATTTTTTTTGTGAATTTAATTGCAGATGCAAATATGACATATGTAAACAAATAATTAATAAGTAATTTACCAAATGTTAGCGTAACTGTTGAAGAATATAACACTAACTTTCGCAAATATAAAAATAAATTAGTGTTATATGAAAAATATATTTTGCAATTATCTTTCTCCAAGTTACGCTAACATTAGTTTTTAATTATGTGTTTACATATGTTTACATTTGCATCTGCAATTAAACTCACAAAAACAATTTTGTACGGATAATTCCGTACAGTTAATTGTTCAATTGGACACTTTTTACAGTATATTAAATAAAGAAACATAGATAATATGACTTAAATTTGTTAATCAGACATGCATTCCATATTCAAACATGATTTTTTAGTAATAAACCGAAAAAATAAAAATTAAAGAATCAAAAAATTTTTTTAAATAAAAATTTCGTGGTAAAAAAATTATATTTTTGCGTCAATTTATTGCTGAAAAAATGTAAATGTAGCAAATTTTAACGCTGATATGTGCGAGTGGCCCAATCTTCCCCCACTCCATCCGGCGCCTTGTCTCGCTCGCATTCCTTAATTTTCCAATGATTTTAAACAAACTTTTTCGGCAGCAAAAGATTCAAGAATTTTTTAACAGCAAATTCAATTCTTTCTTGACAAATTGGTGCCAGATGGAATTCTTAATCTTAAAAATTAGAGCTACAGTGATTTTTTTTTTTAAAATTATTATCTCGGCTCCTAATAATCAGAGGGTAATCTTTTTTTTTAAATTCGTAAAAAAATGTTAGCTATAGAATGCTTCACATGGCTATTTATTGATATGATGCATATTAACGGAATTATTCCATTTTTTTATACGAAAAAAAGATACCCACTTTTCAGTCATTTTATAATAGTTTAACTACAAAAAATCGTTTTATTAAATATAAGTGATAGAAATTCTTGAAGAAAAAAAATCACCCCCGTAAATTGTTGTGCAACTGCTCAAAGATGTAAGTAATTAAGTTTTCCGCAGACAGGTTTTTAGTGAACAAATGGTTTTACAAAAAACTAATAAACATTTCAGAGCTAGATTTGTTCGTCATTATGAGGACTACATTTTACAAAAATTTCGAAGCTTTGCGTTTAAATCTCAATGAACAAAGAGCGAGTGAAAAAAAGGCTTTTTTCGGTATTTTTTATTTTTATTTTTTTATTGAATTAATAGATCGATTTTAATGTTTCACTCATTTTGTAGGTATTTCGAATATCTATATTTTTCATACGGAATTTTTTTCCATACAATCAATATCTTTCGTTTTATAAGTGAAAAACATGCTTTTTGCAATTTTTCGATTTTTTTTCGCATATTTTCTTCACAAGTCTCGAGTCTCAAACATACGCATTTCT